GCGGGGGGAGGGGGGATGTGAGTGCTGCATCAGCAACATGTATCAGCCACCGCCCTCCTCCTCCTCCTCGTCGCATGTAACCACTGCGGTTAAAGTACGCGCTGGTCACGCACTGATTGGTACTTAGCGAACAAGGTTCGCCTCTCTTTTATGTGCAAAATAATCTTACGGATTAAAATTAATTTAACAGATTCCGGAATTTAGTAGATAGAAATTAATAGATTACGACTAAGTGCATCATTCGTTATACTTTCTGGCACTTTTCCAGGCATTCTCCAACGAGTACGATATATTATACAGATAATGTTTTGTCGTTCGATGAAAATGTCAAACGGCTTTGGCTCTTCATATTTTAACCGTCTTACAGAATTTCACATCGATCTGAGCTCAGGAATACTTCTTGTGTGTGAAGACTGAAGAGTACTTGGTTTTTACGCCAAAATATCGCAACAAAAACGTTTACTTCACGACACGCATGCATGCAGCCAAGTTATTTTAACGACATATACATAGCTATAAGCGCCGTATCACGCTCGCGTTAACGAACCTAGCTGGAGCTACACTAATTGCGTAACACTGACTTCTCCATCAAACGTAACATACTTAGAATCTCGTATGGTTTCCTGCAATGTTGCGTTTCGCATATTTAGTGTGATTTTTTTAAGTCTATTACAAATTACATGATGCTCACTCACTACACGGTAAGTGTCGTGTCTACACAAACATTCAAGAGGTCTAGTCTCGCTACTACTCTTCTTGCCCTTTTCTACCCCTTTCCTATATGCACTCTCATGCCACGCACCATCTATCTATCTCACCCCTTCTCTCTCAATCCATCTCGTTCTCGCTCCGTCCATTTTCGGTCAGAGATTATCGCAACGACAAATTACTGGATGGCACGTGACCCATCTTCATAATTATATCCCAACGCCAGATGGAATATGTAAAGCACCGCGCAGTCTTCGACTCTGTCTCAGTCTCCGCATGCATTCAGCGATGTTTACTCCCTCTCGCCCATCTCGTTCCGCAGAACAGCAGCAAAACAACCGCGCGATTGTTTAAATTTCATATCCTTGAAATATTCGTAATTAGCTTAATTACAGCAGAGACGATCATGCGCGCAACAGCAGATGACAATACATAGCCTAATGGTTTCGCGTGACAGCCCTGGCACCGCTACAGCATATACGGACCAGCTTTGTTTACATGTTTATGCACGCTATACCTGAATTATGCGCTGCACAATGATTTTCAGTAATCATGAAACAATAAACATCGGTACATTTGCGAGGCTTAGATTTGACAGACTGCAGGAAACAACCGGCATAATTAGAAACGCACACATGCACACACTCAGATATACACACGCATGTACACACGTGCTCTCACACTCGCATGGGCACCATGAGGGCAGGCAGTAAACAAAATACGTCTCCAAACACGCCTCACCATTGTCTTTCCCAGCATGCATTCCTAGTACACCTACAGATCATGCGCTCATATAAAATACTATCTGCCTCAACATGTACACCTACACTGGTTTTTTCATGTAATGCAATTCCGCGGACCGTCCCAACGCGAGTCATTGAAGGTTCGAGATAACCCAAGTCACTTATACGTCTGCAAAGAGAATTTAGCGAGTTCGCTGCCAGCAAGATTAGCTGAAGCCCCTCCGAGGCAGCGCCTCTGTGCGCACGCCATATTGTATCACGATGCAATCAAGTAAAAAAAAAATAGCTGGTCTTGCGAGGCTGCCCAAGCAGTTAAGAGCGCGCCGCTTGAGTACGCGATTTCGTGATGACGTTTACCCCGACAGAAGTCAACACGTGAACACGTTTATCTCGTCAACGACAGCAAAAAAACACATACACACACGCACGCACACACGCACGCGCACGCGCACACGCACACGGACACACACACGCACGCACACGCAACGCGCACGCGCACACACATGCAGGCCCACACACCGGCCACGGCGCACATTCGCGACGCAAGCGTTACAGCACAAGCCACTGGACAACGTCACACCCGCGCACGACGCCGCAGCGCTAACGCGCACGCGCACGGCGCACACACACTACCTTACACACACCACACACACACACACACACACACACACCAACACACCAAACTTTCACTTCTTCACAGCACAACCCCCACACGCGCAACACATCTCTCTCTCGCCCCACCCACACCACGCGCATAACGCAAACACGAACATCGACCCGAAACGATCGGCCGGCTCCTAATTTCATCGCTCGCAACCGTTTCACGAAACGAATCTTCTCGCGAACATTTTTCGAAAACTCGCGCATTCGAATTGGCGTGCGGGCCAGCGAGCGCGCGCGGGCGTCTCGTCGCATTTCTCTAGATCTTCCGTGATCGCGAGACATCGCGAGACGGGATTCATCGCCGTGTAATTGTTCGCTCTCTCCTGCCTCTGGCTCTGCTCTCACGGCCTGGCCCGTCGCCCACAGCCGATCGGCACTAAAGCGAGCAGGACGTCGATGAATTAATTCAAATTTGAATTACTCGCATTATTTCACCTGCTTATGCGCGGCGTGCTGCCACGGCTGATCCGGCTCGGCGTTAATGAGTAGTAAAAACCGGCAGCGGAGCGTAAAACTGCGCATAATAGGAGCTAACGAGGCGACGCTTGCTGGCGGAGAGAGGCAGAGAGAAAGGTAAGAGAGAGGGAGTAAAGAAAGAAAGTGAAAGAGAGAGAAAGAAGAAAGAGGAAGACAGAAACATAGATAGGAGAAGGAGAGAGAGAAAAAAAAAAGAGAGAGAGAGAGGTAGATACCAAGACAGGCAAGAGAGAGAGAGAGAAAGAGAGAGAAAAGAGAGAGAGAGAGAGAGAGAGACAGAGACCTAGAGAGAGAGAAAAATGGAGAGAGAGAAAGAAAGACAAGAGAAAGAGAGAGAGACCGAAACACAGAGAGGAAGAGACAGAGAGACAGACAGACAGACGGAGACCGAGACAGCGATAGAGAAAGAGAAAGAGACAGCGAGAGACGATAGGAAGAGAGAGGCAAAGACATAAAAAGAAACTGCGACGGAGACGAGAGAAAGCAGCGCATGCAGGCGAAGGGAGCAAGAGGAGGAGGAGATACAAGAAGCCCAGTTAATGACTGCACGCACCTGTCAACGTCGGCTGTCGCGACGGTAAAGATGCAAAGGCATGCGCCACTCATCCCAGATGAATGCACGAGAGAGCAAGACTGTTGACGAGTTCCGCCATACTTCTAAAGAATCGCGCAATGACAACATCCGCGGCTCATGGGTACTTATATACCGGTGATGAAAAAGGTAACGACGCCGATGAAGACAACGACGAGGACAAAGACAACGACGACGATGACAACAAAGACAATGACACCAACGACGACGATGACAACAAAGACAATGACACCAACGACGACGATGACAACAGCAATGACGAGGATGAAGACATTGATGATGAGGACAATGATCTCGACGACGACGACAACTACGGCGACAACAACGAGGAAAACAATGACGATGACGACAACAACAGTGGCAACAACGACGATGACAACAACGACGACGACAGCGAGCATGACTAAGGCAACGAGAACGACAACGATGACATTGATAACGACGACGACGAATTGTTAGTTGTCGGCACTGTTTAATCGTCTCATTCGATCCAGACACGAGCGCGCGCGCGCGAGCGCCGTCACCGCCCGCTGTTACCCGCAGGTCTCTGCATTGGAGACCTCGTGAACAAAATCTTGCCAATTACCTTCCAATTTATTTGTGCATGAAAATGAGCGCTCTCGCTTAAAGCGAGCGTAATGCGATTACAGGCGGCCGCTCTGCCATGAACGCGCCACGCGAACGGACCCTCGGTCCCCTGCCACCCACAACACTTCTCCCAACACTGCCATTGCCGCCACCGCTGTTAATCCCATCTGTTAACTACCCTATCACTGCTGCCATCACCACCAACACCAGTCAACTACCAACAGCACCACAACCACCCCGCGCATCTACTAATTTGCGTCGACGTATCCATGGTGTCGCATGAACAGTGGATGTTTTTGGTTTATGAACTAACAAATCCGTACGGATTAGTCCTCAAACTCGGGAAATCCAAACCCTGCGACCTCGTCACGTGCTGAATAATTAACACGCAGCGTTGCATAGTTATCGCTCCATCGGTCGAGATATCAACGGAAATCACGAGGCGATGGGCAGAGTCAGAGTGCGGCCAACTTATCCTCGTGGTCCCTCCCCTTCTCTCTCTCCTCCTCACCTTGAGGGCTGTTGATGTAGATCATATGGTACTTGAACCCAATGCGCTCCAACAAGCCCCACGAGTGCACGAAGCAACAGCGCCGCCAGAACATTATTCTTGCTCTCCCCGTATATTGGTGAGGTGATGGGATGAATCCATCAGATCACTGCACGCACAGTTGCACCCGCATTAGCAATAGTTAGTTTTGATATCCACGCAGTCCTTAATAGATGGACACTACTGCAGGTCTGCCGTCTACTCAAGCCAATGCCAGAGATTTTAATAGAACACAGCTAGTGCTATTTTTGCATTTACGCAGACCTATGCTATAGGTTTGAATGGATGACAACAAACACGGTTTTGGTTTCTAGCCGTACCGTCTTGACATTTACCCAAACTAATACAAAAGTTTCAATGTAATGTAAGCACTGACGAACTAACATGTGCTGTCTCATACTGCTGGTGTTACATTAACATAAGATCACTCTAGTTCTCCTTTCCAAAGAAGAACTCCACATTCTTATTTAATACTGCTAGCATTCCAACCAAACCATGGGTCATAATTCTATTTGTATTTATGTTGTGTGCTTTATAAGAACTATTCGAATAAGAGAACCTTGCCAACACAGTGATTTCTACACTTACATGCGGGCAAAAGCTGCTGCCGTTTTGCTAGAACAGCAGTTTTCCATAGCACCCTACCTCTGCCCTGACACACGAAGTCTACAACACTCACTCTAGTGACTAGTCAGTGGGCAACAAAGAACTCGAGTGAAATCAAAAACATGCTCAGAGGATCAACAACCACACTTCAAACGCAACTGCAAGCAAACGAAAACGTGGTAGAATTTCACTTGCGCGGAACCCTGGACTGCACGTGGCATGGATCAATTTCAGGGGTCGAAATAAGCGATGGTCCGATGGTCCGGGGCCATCAAATAATCAGGAGGACCATCAGATTTTCAAAGTCAATGGTCCGACGGACCGGACCGTTATGGGTTCAACTAAATTCTACTGAAACAACTTTATTAACCAATATACTATTAAAGTGAATAAACAATTACTGTATCGTTTATCACCATGTAAAATCGCTTTCTTACGCTTGCACGCCGCATTACTTTTAGAGAACAATTTGAAATTTAGGAGGACCATCTAAAATTTAGGAGGACCATCTAAATTTCAAACTAGATGGTCCTGTGGACCATCTCTTTTTTTCTCCTTAACTTTACACCTGAATTTGATCCATTAGTTATAACAACTGCATTGCCGGCCCTCCTAACCGAGACAAGATCATGCACGGGTGGTTGCCGCTATACTGTCCCAGCATTTGAGTCCTCACAAACAATGCGCCAGCGAGCACCAAAACACATGGCCGCCGACTTAGCCAGCTCAATGGCAGACTCGATCCCACGTTCACATAAGTGCAGCGGAAGATGGCCAGCATTCGTGAGGAGGGAGTATTCTCACGGGAGGCATGAATGTTATTTCGCCAATGCAGGTTTCGCACCATTTAGCTCTCGTAAACACCGAATCTCTTATTAAGGTGCGTTCGGTCTGGCAGTTAAACAGCAGCAATAATGCCATTAGCATTACAATATACTGCCGAAAAGTGCTAGGTAATGCGACGCCAGGCAAAACCCGTGACAATATATGCACGAAGAATGCGTTTAGCATTAAACTTTATGGCCAAGTATAAATTTATAACAAATATGGAAGTGCACAAATTAATAAAATAAATTGGCTAATGGTCACAGACGGTACACCTGAGAAGTTATTTAATAATGTATTGCTCATGTGGCTATAACCTAAATCAGTTTGAAAGTTGTAAACTACCTAGACCTACATTTCTTGAAAGAATCCCTATGATTTTTTAAACCGCGGCAATTTTCAGAATTACTGCATAGTGCTGTCACCTAGTGGGCACATCCACGATGAATAATCAAATACTCACGGGACCAGTATCACCAAGGGAAGCAGCATTTCCACAGCAGTTGTGCAATGATAACTGCAGTCCTATCACAAATCTCTACATAGTGTCTAACAGCAGATTTACTTGATGGGGAGTTTGCTGATGGGAACATTTGCTTCACTTCTAACTAAGTACTGGTTAACCTAATGCATCACCGAACACAAATATCAGAGTAACTGACTTATCAGCATATGCGACTACTATATGTAATGACTGCGTAAATAATGGCAGTAGACTGCATATAAAAACAAGCTGTTGTGCATTTTAGGTAGAAAAACCTATACATTTGCATGACAGAAACGACACAGCAATCTAACATTCAGACTTTCTACTTACCCAAGTAATCATCCATGAGAGATCCAATAGCAAACTGGAAGCAAAGTAGAACAAATGGAATCTAACAATTTATTTCGAAAAGCAGTTTTCTTGAAAAACAATTTGCATGCGTTTGAACAAGTGAGGGCTTCAATTGATTGAGTGAATGATATCATATTGTCTTTTTACATACCCCTGAATATCTACTAGTAAATATTGTGGAACACCATAAATTCACATCGCAAAAAACCAACCTGGGTAATGTAGAACGAATGCTCAGAGGAACCTTCCACCTAAACATCACAACTAATAACTAGCTCGGCCATTGTTGCATGCTCCCAACAATACATATTCTTGCTAGTGAATTAACACGTTCTCGTTCAAAGACACTGCAGGCCATACACTGTCACTGGTATCTACTCACAATATCTGTGGCGTCCACTCGTGTGCCAATGATCTTAACTCTGATGTCGTCTGCTTCTTGGATGACAACTTCCTGAAATAGTTAGATGCTTATGTAAGATGATTACATCCCATCACACATCATGTATAAGCCACCGCATTTACTCGTGTATAAGTCCACCCCATATTTTGCCTTGAAAAGTTGGTACAAACACTGGTACATTAACAAGATTTCTTAGCCCCCTGTGTAAGTCACACACCCAATTTTTTAAATTTGAAGTTGTGTACAAAAAAGTGTGGCTTATACACGAGTAAATACGGTATATTATTTTAAAATGACTCTTTATAAATGATTTACATGACTCCAAAATACCTGTGAATGTATAAGTTGTTCAGTACTCGACTTACCTCATCGTGTGTCTTGTAACATGGTGGATTCGAGTTTGGATCAAACTCCATGTCAGATGGTATGGACTACAAATGAAAGATAATGTAGAATATACTAATAACTAGCAGGACACCCGGCGTTGCCCGGGAAATGAAGCGCTCAGTTGGTGACCACTTGGTTGAAAGAGAAATACCAAAAATCGATCTATATCTATCTACCTATGTATCTATGTATCTATGTATCTATCTATCTATCTATCTAGTTATGTATCTAATTATGTACGTACTAGTTAGTCTAGATCTATCTAACCTATCAAAAATATACAAAAACATATCTATCTATCTATCTATATATCCATCCATCCATCCATCCATCCATCCATCCATCCATCCATCCATTGCATTTAACTTGCATTAAAAATATCGACATTATGATCAAGTTAAAACCTCACTTCTCTCAGAATTGCCAGCACTCTGCCGGTCTCTTTATGCCGGCTATGCGTCTCTACATTGAGAATGAGATAGAGGCTTATCCACAGTCACGATAGGGTCAGCTGTTTTCCAACTATTAGGGCAAGCTGTGTTACACAAAGGAGGTTACATGATGTATGGAATCAGCTAAGTTTTTAACGAGTAGTATGTTAATTTTCGCACTCCGCGCCACCCCTAAAAATTTTCCAACTATCTCCATATACATCACTTCAAGCCACATATGTGAAACAATTGCGGGCCTGCCCACACAACAATCAGTACTGCAGCTCGCCACTCCGTATGAGTGGAACAGCAGCAAGTGCGACACATGTTGACTATCTGTAACATTCGCTGTTGATTACTTATGTTTGGACATTGCAGAACATTTGTGCTGTGCATCTGCTAGATTTTCTTGGGACATTTACTAAAAAAACATGGCAGTTCCATGAGGCTGCACTCTGAAATGTGTTACAGGAAAATAATCAATAGTTACACTTCAAGAACTCCTGCATACGTCATACCATGGAGTCCAGCAGTAAATCACAGTGATTTACATATGGTAACTAACTAACTAATCTTTCAATACTTACATGTCGTGAAATAAAGCATGATAAAGGTCCAATTTCTGTAAATAGTCCAACCTGGAAAAATTAAGAAAACTTCCCATAATAGCATAATAATAATTATATTAATAATAATATGCTCAGACTCAATATCAGACACAAGAAACTTTACCCTTGTTGTGTGCGTCTGTGTGTGTGCGCAAGCACGTGTGTGCGTGTGATAATAAATTGAGATGTCCATAAAATCGCATGCAATGTTTTGCTATGGATGAAAGTGTTGTTCAGTTCACACCAGCAAACACTGCACCATTCATTAGAACCTACCTTGTTCACCTGTGTCACAACAGCATCAACAACTTCTCCTTTGAACGGACGAAACACGATTGCCTTGTATTTAACTGGATAGACGACAAAGCCCCGTCCGGGCTGAATGTACCCGGCACCTATATTGTCTATTGTTGTTACCGCGATGACGAAGCCATACCTGAGCAAAAAAGAATCCAGTGTAAAACCAACATGTTAACCCTCAAATACATTCCGTCTTATTAGATTGTAGTTATCCGCAATTAAAAAAATTATTCATTATAGAACAACTAGATTTGTTTGAATTAATTCAGTATATCTCTACAACATAGTTTACCATAACAAGATAGCAAAAATTTAAAATAAAAAATATGTTTGCAAATCATATTATCATGCCGAAATAAAAATACTAACTTTCCAGGACATTTTCCTTCCACCTCTGTGAAAAGTTTCTGTTTGACTGTGTTGAGGAGGTTCGGTCCAAAATAGCGTGGATGCAATAGAATCTCATGTTCCAGCGAAATCTAAAAACATCAGTAATTATTTATTTTACTAGCAACTGGTCATGCTAATGAGTCCTTGTTACAATACCACAGTTCAGTACTAGACTCAAGTATAATCAATAGTGGAGCTGGTTGTATTTGTCTGGTAGATTTGCCTGTTCCTGTTCCTATACCAAAGTATAGCACAATGCTTACCTTTATTCTATGAGTGGCACATACGAACATAATGCTATATCCGTGTCACTGTGTGCTACATCATGTTTCATAAAATAATTTCTCATGTTACACGACATGGATTAGGTTTAATACCAGGATGCATTCCCACTTAAAAGTAATCTTAGTTAGGATCGACACTAGCACCACTTGGGGGTTTACTGTAAGGATAGTTTACTAACAATTTGCATGCCACATCATCCACGTGTATGCTTTAGTTCTATCTTTTACTAAATGACATGTATATGGCAGCATAGCATGAACCAGTTAATATTATATAAATATACAAATAATGAAACATATCCATTGCGAAGAAAGTCCATTGGAGGTAGGAAATGCATATAGATTCAGTGATGTGTGCTATCTACCATATCGGTATCAAAAACTACAATGCGAGTTCAGAGACTGCTCTCACTGGAGAGGATTGCACCTCTTGCTGCCCCGTTTCCAGAGTCCAATCTTATAACATTTTGCAATGTTTATGTCAAAATTATTATCGCTCTGATTTTATGAAACTCTCTCTGTGTACTTAGTCATCTGCCACTATCGTCCCCATGTGACATTTTTAACGGGTCATACAGGTTTGGTTTTTTGCTTCTGCCATCTCATCCTGGTATTCTCTCTCTTGCCCTTTAGTTACTTATGAAATTGAAACACTATCTGCTGCTCTCCGTAGTGTTGACGTGTCAATCTGATTGACGTTAGCCTTCTTCTTAATATAGCACACTTGGGCAACGAATAATTATTATTAGTGTGTCTCTGATATCTGGTGACCACAGGCACTTGGACCGCTTCAATTATAAAATTATTGCAAATAAACACAAATTGAATTTATTACCAAAGCCTCAGCGTTTCCGTAAATTATCTATCGACTAATATTATAATTCCTTGAAAATACCGTCCAAATGATCATCTGCGCCACACTGTCTCACCGCATGCAGGCGACAGTGTACAAACTCGCAGAAAGATAAGAGCAGATCAGAAAGGACGAGTACCAAACTCTCACAACACTTGCTTCATTTCACACCATCACAGCATAAATACAAACAACTGCCTCAATATTGGTATCTATGCGTAGCCAAATGTTTACTCGTTTGAATTATCATTCTTGCCGCGTGGTAAAACTTAATTTGCCCATAGAAATCTGGTAAATTCCTCCAGAAAACTCATGCTGCACGGCAATGTATGCCGGATCAACTCTCTGTTTATTACCCAAAACTCCCTAACTGCGCTACTCGATTGTTTAGCTAAGCCTAATGAACGTAGTTGCATGTGTGATGCCATTCATATGTGAATCATGCTTGCTAAACTTGGAGCTAAATGGTGGGACTCATCGCAGAGCTTAAAAGCAGAGAGTGCTTTGAACCCAGAATGCAATGCGTGCCATTACTCAGTCTCATGTATAAACACGCAGTTGGTTCTATACGAGTTGGATGTGGTAGATCAAGGATAGTTTGGGACCCCCCTCCCCCAATATGTTTTCGCATATGTGCTAAACTAATCTAATGTCCTAAATTAGGCTTGGCCCGATGTGGTGGTTTGTATTTCTGTGTGATGGTGTGAAACAATGCAAGTTGTGCAAATTTTGTGCTCACACTGTCGCTGTGTAGCAGAAGAGCACTTGAACGGCATTTGCATGAAGTCATTAGTCAATAGCGAATACATAAAACTTAAGACTTTGGTGGTGAATACAATTTCTGTTTAATTACAATAATTTTACTGTTGTCAGTGTTGAAATGGTCTAAGTGAAGTGGTATGGACCACAGGCACTTGGAACATCTAAAAAAAAAAGAAGGTAAATAAACACGAAATGTATTTACTACCAAAGTCTTAATGTTTCTCTACTCTATTTCGCCTATAATCACCTGTAAATGCCGGTCAATTACTCATCTGTTGCTCTTACTCAATTACACAAGTACACCGCACGCCCGCCCTGTGCACAAACAACATGAATAAGAGAGCAGGTAGGAAAGCGTCATCGCAAAATTCGCTCGACGCTCGCTTCATTTCACACCTTCACAGCACGAATACACATCCAACAGCTTCCATCTTGGTATCTATGCGTAGATAAATATTCACTTGTTCGAATTATAACTCTGTCCTTTGTCCTTACCTACTCCCGCCAGAGATATCTCGTGAAATCCTGCAGGAAATGTTCTCTCCGTGAAAATGTAAAAAGAATGTAAAGAGGACGAAATGTCTGTTTATACACGAATAATGGCGGCGCATTGCATGCCGGGATGAGCTGCTGCCAGCCTCTGAGCCTCCGTTTCGAGGCCCGCCAAGCCAAGCTTAATGCGCGCAAGCATGACGTCACACACACGACTACAGCGATTGATCGAAAGTAGCGCCGTTAGGGATTTTCAGATGATACGTCCTCTTTACACTCTCTTTACATTTTCACGGAGAGAACATTTCCTGCAGGATTTCACGAGATATCTCTGGCGGGAGTAGGTAAGGACAAAGGACAGTTATAATTCGAACAAGAGAACTACCAATAACTAGCTACACATAGATACCAAGATGGAAGCTGTTGGATGTGTATTCGTGCTGTGAAGGTGTGAAATGAAGAGAGCGTCGAGCGAATTTTGCGATCACGCTTTCCTACCTGCTTTCTTATTCATGTTGTTTGTGCACAGGGCGGGCGTGCGGTGTACTTGTGTGTTGCAGATGAGCATTTGACCGGCATTTACAGGTGATTATAGGCGAAATAGAGTAGAGAAACATTAAGACTTTGGTAGTAAATATATTTCGTGTTTATTTAACTTTTTATTGAGACGTTCCAAGTCAGAAGTGCCTGTGCCGTGGTATGGACCGTCACCGAACTGACTTTTGAGTTTTGTCATTTCACTAGTATTTGCCTGAACTTAATTTATCGCTATTGATACAGATACTGAGATAGTATGCCAGTAAAACGAAATATAATATGTAAAACAACAGTGAACTGATCTGAGTTTAGTCATCCACAAATAGTTTCTACACTAACAACAACAAACATACGTGATAAAACATAGCGCCGCTCTGATCATACAAGAAAACACAAGAGCATTATTTACCTGTCACAACAACTTCATTATGGTTTATTCTCTAACGATATATACTTCAATAAAATAGAGGAATACATTTGCATAAAATGCAATTTTGTATAATTTAATAAATAGCTCATTAACATATCTTTTATCTTCTTGGATTGTGACCTACACAATTTATTACACGCTAATAAAATCCCGTGAAATGTACGAATTAAACATGGCTGCGCTCACACTTTACTCATGTCGATCCGTTATTCCACATATAAAACGCGTAGCAAGCGCTTCATACAATTCTCTGGTTAGCATTGCATGTTATATTGTGTAAAGCATTAGCTTTAGAGTATTTGTTAATTATGTTATTATGCATTATCAGTAATATCGTTGTCATGATACTCACAGAGATGTCAAGTTTGAGAATTGATTGAGAGTGAGACTCAGCGTTTGACGGAGCGACACCGGCCGAGGGAGCGAAGCTACCAAGGGAGGGGGGTTCGAAATTTGAGGTTTGAAATGGTGCAATTTAGTGCATACCTATGCCTATGGTATGATTTATTGCCTTTATAAATATAAGTTCTTACTCATTTTGAATGATTAGAAGTATTGGGAAATATGAATTGAATTTTTTTATGACTCCACATGTGTGTCATATGTGACATAATGTGTCATGCCACTTTATCACAGTAAAAGTGCAAGCTGAGAATTGAAAAGTAAACAAAATACCTCAGTAACCTGCAGAGCCATCATCTAGGCGGGATATTGGATTCGAAGCAGGCAAATAAAATGCGTGCACGTGCGCTGGCCGCGCCGCTTATAGTATTATACGTATACGGCCGGCCGGAGCGAGCTATCTAGCTGGGCGGCCGCAGAGCGGCACTGTTGATCGGGCCTTAGCCTTCCGATACTAGTATACTGGTATTGGGGACTGAAAATGGGGGGATTTAATTATTTATTTATTGATTTTGATTTTTGCGTGGGAAATTCAGAGATGAGCGTGAGAGCGTGAGAATTGACCAAAATGCGTGAGTCTCACGCTCAATGCGTGAGACTTGACGTGTCTGTACTCATGACATGTGCACGCCGCAGGCTTTCATTTTTAAGGGGCGCGATCGCGCTCGCGCTCCACCGCGCACCATAAATTGTGCCATGGTGCGCGCATCATCGCGCCTCATAAAAGTGGTTGAAATCGCGCACCAAAAGTCTGTGTATTATGTACAAATTTTCATTTTACAGTCCAACAGCCTACTAACAGTACCTTCATTTAATACCATTGTAATATAGTTTGCTTTACAATATAGACACGGCTTAGTTCACTGTTTGAGATTGTCAGACGTTGGCCAGTGTGTGCGTTTATTTGACGCTGCAAGTGTGTGTGGCCGTATATATAGTACGCGATCGATCGATCGTGTACATCAAAAGCCGCCGCATCACGCGTGGCCTTGAGGCTAGTTTTCCCTGTCCATAGAGTTGCAATGGATCGCGAGCCCTGACTGGAGTATCGCGCGCCGCCGCCCGCGCGTATATACGTGTGCCTGTGCGCGTGCTTGCGTGCTTGCGTGTGTGCCTGCGCGCGTGCATGTGTGCGCGTGCTTGCGCGTGTGCCTGTGCGCGTGCGTGCCTGCATGCGTGCGTGCGTGTGTGCGGGTGTGCCTGCGGGCGTGCCTACGTAGACCCGTAGGACCAACGACCCGTAGGATTATAGAACGGTAATCCATGGAATTCCTTCCACAAAATCCTAATGAAATTCACACGTATATTTTTCCCTTGCGGCACACTCGTGTGTCATTCCCGATTGTAGCTTTTTTGTCAATTCCCCGAAAGAGTTTTGCTGTCGCTCTCTCATAGTCCAGCAATGCCAACCCTCTACATTTTAGTAGTGATTAGTACCACGCTCCCCCCCCCGTACTTCAATCAATGCCGCCCCTGCCAGCAGGCACGTACGCAGCGTCGATGTGCACAGCCATACACACGTGCCTGCGAGGCGCCTTCAACCTGGCTTCCGGGCCTAATGGGCCTTACGCGGTGGCTTAGCGGGCCTGGACCGCGCAAGAGATTCGAGTGATACAATCGATTTCCGTCGTATCTACTTGCAGGACACTCACTATTTGCGCTAGGCGTAATGTTCTGTGTTTAGTGCACTGTGTGTATTCATAATTCAAGGCGCTTGATTTGTTCCCGGTTCGCTCGAGCTTGTCAGCGCGTCTGCTGCTCTCTCATCCTCGTTGAGTTGTCGTTCCGGCACCGCATGCATGAACTTGGTCATACCTTGATGGGTTCGGCCCCAGCCCTCCCCTGCATGTTCTGTTGTTCTGTGCTGTGTCCAGCTTGGTAATTGGTGCGGCTCGCTTGTGCTGTGTCTGCTGTGGTTCTGTCTGCTGTTGTCGGTTGTGTGTTTCTGTGTGTGGTGTGTCAGTGGCTTGGTACCGTGCGTGCGTGCGTGCGTGCGTGTGACGTGTGTGGTGTGTGCGCGCCCCCGCGAGTGTGTATTAGTTACTGTGCTTGTGTGTACATTTGAGGAAACAGCCCTGGAAAATAGTCGCCCTGGAAAGTGGCAAAAAAGCCCTGGAAAATGAAAAAGTAGCCCCCGAAATCTTCGGGGGGTTTGCAAAAAGAGCCCCGGAAAGAAAAAAAATAATTTTTTCACTGATTCTAGCCCAACTCTTGTTTCAGTAGCCAATGAGAATGCAGCTTTCATACACCCTTCGTCGTATCTTAAAACAATGGCAGACCTTTTAAGGGTGTGATTTTTAGTGGAGCTCTCCATTATGCCTCTTAAGGGTGTGATTTTTTAGTGGAGCTCTCCATCATGCCTCTTAAGGGTGTGATTATGGAGCGTGAAAAGTCCCCCTGTGGTGTTCTAGGGGAGTCATTAGTAGTCCTCCTGTACTTTTCAAATCTGAAAGCCTGGCACGGTGCGACATCATGATTCATGTTGCTGGTGCACCACAACCATAGGCATAGTCATATAAATATAGCATACGCACAAGGATATAAGAGCTATCCACATTTGCACATGCCGCGCATTTACGACAATGAATTGTGGTGAGCACTTATATCCATGAACCGAAATATATAGTCTACTACTGACTAGAGTCTAACTTAGTAACTAGGACCACAACTAAGTAAGTTAGATTTCACATGGCATAAAACATGGCATAAAAGCTGAACAATTCAACAAGTGCCTAGGGTGCGTGGGTGCAGAGGTTTATCTTAGTTAATGTGGCTAGTACCTGGCAATTTTTTTTACAAAAAAAGTTAACCTGTTTGTAAATTCTGTGCGTGGCCGGCCGTTAGTGGTCATTGAAAAAATTACCATAAGATAAATATCTGCTTTCAAATTGTAAATTTGGCGGTCCATTTGAAATGTGAGTGCGTGCAATAGTCGTCCCCAAATCTGGCTGGCTATATAACACCCTGAGGTGCCAATAGGAATTTCGTCATTTTTCGTCTAGTACCCTCACAATCCCCACCATAAGAAGTCGTGTCAAATTGTTTCAAACCAATTGGCTGCATCATTGCAGTTGTTTGAAACAACAGTGATTAACCAACATATTGCAGAAAATTAATTGCTGTTACTAGGATGGTCTTAAGTTGATGTATGTTTATGTTGCAGCAGTCAATAAGGTCATTTTCATCAGAAGCTGACATAAATGTGGACAATGTTCCTAAAATGAAGAGGCACACATTTACTGGGTATGAAAATGAAATTCTTTCAGAACCCTGTACTGTGCAAGATCTTCCACCATCCAAAGGAACGGTATGTATTCATATTATCCGAATTATATTTAATATTAATATATCAATAATGGTTTTCATAAAGGTCACTTATTTGATGTCAATGTTTATTATTTAGTTTACATTCTAATTTATTGACTTTGCCTTTCCACTATATTGTTTTTCAATGAATAATTGTTGCTATATAAAGATTTTATCGCTTCTACTCTTTTTAATTTGCATCCAGGCTCCTAAGTATGTGGAGTCAACAGAAGAGTATAAGTGGGTGGAAAGATTATTGCCAACAAAGTTAATTCCTCGAGTGAAACCAAATTTACCTCGCCAAATGCCCTCTGGGTGGGCACCACCTCCAGGTAGATCAATAATTTGAACTGTTTGTTTTCATATGTATTTCATTTGTTTTGTACTGATCATTGAAGTTTTGTTATGAAGTCTGCTATTCAGCATAAACCTGTTGCCACAAGAAATTATTTCTTGGCTCAGATCAGATAATACTAGATTATATACTGTAATAGCATTTTCTGTGAATCAAACCAAAGCACATGTGCAGGGCGCGAAATTAGCATCGGCCCACCGGCATATGCCGGCAAATCATTTGGAGGGCCAGTAACATTGGAAAAACACCAGCCCTCCGAGCCGGTTACTAGAAAGTACTTATTTTATGCTAAGAACAATCAAGGAATGAATTAGAAGTATAATTAAGAACTTTAGTATAGTACCACTAAATATTGTTAAAACTGCGATGGCTAAACTGCGCATTTGCCTTGTTGGCACTCGCTCTTTTGTGTACATTTTTGTGGTGAGCTATAGTGTCATTGACACTTTCATTATTTATAGCATTAATGAGCAAATAGCCTACAATACTGTTTTACCTGAAGGATATCACACATGATTTATCAACATTTTACAAATTTGAAATCGAGAATGCAAGAGTGAAACTAGACATTGACAAAAACACTTCAGACATCATTCACGATCTGCATTATAGTCTGTTCAACAGCTACTACGCGATGCCGCGCACTACAACATTTTTCGGACAAGCAAGAGTTAGTCGAACAGTCTTATCTTTATTTTTGAAAAGAAAAGAAAAATTTGTGAGGGCTGGTAAATTATGGTGAGGGCTGGTAGAAAACTACTGTTACCAGCCCTCTGGGCCGGTGCAAAAAATCTGAATTTCATGCCATGCATGTGTGTGTTTGCACATGCGTAACTTTGCAGTGCATCCTATGCTGATAGTATAAGTTATGTTTACTCTCCATAACAAAAGCTTAAGAAATATATTTACTAGTTGATGAAATCTGATTACATTGACGTGCGGGCTTGTGCATATTATATTTCTGTTTGCA